CCCCTGCCGACCTCGGCCGTGGCCGCGTCCCTCTTCTTGATGATGTCCGCCGCAGGCTCTAACATCGGGGGGGGGGGGGGGGGGGCAAGGGGGCGGCGGCGGCGGTGGCCCCGCAGGTGGCCCTGGGGCGCGCTGAGAGCCAGCGCGCCGAGGGCAACGGTGTTGGACATGGCGAAGGAGGGCATCCTTAAGAGAAAACGTAGCACTGCTGAAGGGACATCTCTTAGCCCTCAAGTCGTCTTCGGGGATGCCCAAGCGATTAGCCGCGCCGCCATGGGCCCCGAACCTGTGATTCTCAAACCCTTTCTGGTCATGACATGTTGTTCCACAGTCTGGGCAGACGAAACGATGTGCTTCATCAGTGTCTCCAGCTTCGCGGAGTTCGTCGCTCTCAGCTTCGTGCGAGAGGGCGGCCTTGAGCTCTGCGTGTGAGAGCATGTCCAGCCACTCCAGCCAATCTCGTGAAACTCGGCGAATCACTCGGGGCGCGCAACTGGCTGTCCGCAGGAAGACGGGCCCACGACGCGCGAATATCTGCGAGAAGCTGCCCCAACCGACAATTAAGATTTCGACGGTGGGGGTCCTCGAACGAAAATCTGCCAACTATTGCAGCCCGCGCAGCCTCGGTGGGGTCATGCTCTAAGGGTTCTGGTTGGAGCCCCGGGGCAATCGCATGTCGCCACCGCAGCAGCCTACGATGAAGTAGAGTAGAACTCGTGCTATAGACTTTGGCACGACCGCGAATATCTGCATTTGAGACATGGTGAAGGTGAGCGGGGGAGCGAAGAATGCGTCGAAATGTCTTGGTTTGCCAGCGTTCGAGTTTCTTCAAATCCGTCTTCGTGAGGAAGGCAACTTCTAGTGCATAAAGGGCGATGGACCGTACTAGCGCATTCCACGAGAATATCTGTAAACGCGCGCTGATGTTCCCCATTGGCACCTTCTGGGACAGCCGGCCGCGGGCTTGGTTGGCGGAAGTCAGGCGGGCCTTGACCTCGGCCGAGCACGAGCCCGTCGCCGAAAGCAAACGGCCAAGGTACTTTACAGTCGGCGTCGGGTGGATCGCGCGAGCCTGGCTGTCGGCACGGGCCAAGCTAATGCCAGTCTGCTTAGTGCTGATTTTCTTCCTTGCCCTCCGGCACCCCTTCCCCGCAACGCTCTTCATCAGCTCGGATTTCGGGGCATTCATCGTTAAGCCGCTGGCATTGACGTTGGTCCTCAGAAACTCTAGGAACTCGGAGGCGGTCGCAAAGTCGTCGACCACCGTCAGCGAGATTAAACTTTCTACGAACTTGACCTGGGACGCATCTAACGACCTCAACTCGATAGCCATGAAACCGACCGAATTCTTGAAGACCTGGAACTGGGGGTCGCACTGCACCTGGGCGCCCTGGACCCCCCCCAAAACGCCTTGGAGCCTACGTCGTTAGTGATGAGGTCGTAGATAGCGATAAAAAGCCCTGGCCCCTCTACACTGCCTTGCTGTGCACCTTTGCGAATAAGTAGTTGCCTGCAGGGTCTGTTAGTTCGGACATCTCGGAGGATATAGCAGGTCCCATTGTAGAGCTCTTCTGTAACCAGACGGGTGCCAGGGGAGAGCGCCAGCTTAGCTGGGCCGCCCCAGACCTGACTTCGAGTCAGGAAGTCGAAGGCCTTCTCGAGGTCGATCAATGCTGCAATCAAGATGCGATAATTGGTTTTGGTGCGACAGGGGTTGCCCCGAAAGCGACGGCCGATCTCGTCGACGAAGGCAGCGGCGTCTCGCGTCGATCGACCTTGGAGGGCCCCAAACTGAATAGCAGAGAGCCAGCCTGACATTGCGCGCAGCCCAGGCATGATGACCACGTCGGCGAAAGCTTTGCCGACGTGGCCGATAAGATTGATCGTCCTGTAGTGATCCTTGGCATTCCTCCCGCCCCCCTTAGGTTTTCGCAGTGAAGCCGCCTCCGCATTTTTCAACCTTCGCGGGCGCGGCGGAAAGCTCGGGCGGCCTGAAAGACTCCAAGAAGAGGGCCCCCTACAAGATCACCTCCTAACTTCCAGAGTTCAGCTGCGGCACCTTCGGGGTCCTGTCGAGGCCCATTGGAGATCGAGGGGTCCATCCACCTCAGCACGGGGGCACCCTTGAAGTTTGGGGGCCTGCCGAGGGCCATAATGATGTCACACGCGTCGTACTGGCCTACGAGTTCCGCGTCGGGCCCCTCGGGGGCGCCCCCGGGGCCTCCATCCTCATGCATGGGCAGCTCAGTTGCCTCAAAGATGGCGCAGAGGGCACCGGTGCGGACCTGTTGGTCCTCGTCATCGTCGAAGCACGGGTGGCCCGTGGCTGGGATGCGGGCGGTCAGCGTGGGCATGCGGGGCTTCGGCGCGAGGCGCTTGACTATTGAGTAGCAGCGTCGGATATCATGCGCTTCATCAGCCCGCTCCGCATCGGCAGCCAGCGCCGCGATGTGCTGTCGCTTCTCCGATCGCACTGCCTGTTTTGCCCGCTTTGCCGCCGGCTGGAACTGCTGTGCTATAGATTTGTATAACCACGAGCTGTGATCGACGATGTTGGGTCGCATTCTCTGATCTGAAAGCGCTGCTTGCGTTTGATCAAATCTAAGGTAGCGTCAGTGAGGTTCTTCAGCGGGGCCAACTTTGGGGAATCAGCATAGAGCGGGTAAGCTGCGCCAGCGACTGCTCCCTCCGCTGAATTGTAATAGCTGAATGGCGAGGTATAGCGTTGGTTGATGCCGCACTCCTGCTGCTAGTGTCCTTCAATAGCACGGGCTTGTAATTCATGGCGGAGCCGTATGCGAAAATATTGCACACGTGCTGGTATATTGTTGGAAATGCTGAGCAACTTTGAGATCACGGAGCATGAGGTCGCGGTTCCATCTGACAGGTGGGTCTTGCCGAAAGCGCTTACATCGAACTTGTACTGATATCGTGGCCTCAATGGGGCGGTGGTCGCGGAATCCTCCCGTTCTAACGGGCGGGGAATGTAAAACTCGAGCTCCGTGTCCGTAACCTCCTTGCAGTCTGGTGCATGTGTAGCAGCCGTCCTTAGCACGTGAAGATGTCCCCGGGGTTGGGTAGACACGAGAAGCCCGCGGTCCAAGACATGGTGGCTCCCATGAGGGTACTTTGAAAGCATAATATAGCGAAATGATGCTCACTTGCGTGTCGTAAAATTATCCCAGGCGGTCGATGCATATCAGTGATGCTGTGTTATAGCTCCATGCCTTCACAATGTGGGTTGGTCTCGGTCTTCGTGGTCTCGGTCTGGGTGGTCGCGGCGAGCTCGAGGAAACGTCGGTGACCATCGGGAAGGACGTCACATCATGCTTAGAATAGTACGCAACCATCGCGAGCCTCGCCGCACGTCTCCAAGCCCGTCTGCCACCCATGAGCCCTGATTCCAGCCTGCGCTTGTCGTCGTGGGGCGCCTGCGCGCCGTCCTCGCAGGTCGGGCAGCCTCCGAACGCTCACCGCGCTGGCTTCGTAGCGACTCTCAGCGTCCCGCTGTGCCACAGGCATCGCACATGGCGGAACTGGCAGGGCGCGCGCGTGGGTCGCAGCCGGGGGGGGACTTGCGACCCCCCTCCCTGTCGGAGGCAAGCGGATCCTTTGAGCCGCCGAGGCTTCCGCTGGCTTCTGCCGACTTCCGCCGGGGAAGGGATGCCAGCTCTTGCCGCCCCTGCGAATGTCTCCCGCATCCGACGAATTCCGAGCCCTGCGCACGCAGAACCTCGGGTTGCCCGAATCATTGGTCCGCGAGGGTAGGGTCTGGATTTCGCAGCCGATCTGAACCTGGGCCTCCAAGGGCTCGCCTCTTGGGGCCCCCAGGAAGCCCGCGAGCACGATGCGGCGCGCGGAGCCCGTGCGCGAGGGTGGGGTCGGGAGCGCTGGAGCCCCACGCGTCGACGAGCCCATGGGGGATCCGCGGGTTGAAACTTGGAGTTCGGGCCTCGAGCATCGAATTCCACCAGAAAGGTCAATTAGGTGTTCGAGTTTGGGTCCGGACACGCAGTTTCAACTCCGCCGAAGAGGCAGTAGTTATTATTCGAACCATCTCCCACCCTGGCCCGGCGAGGCGACCCGCGTGAGGAGCTCGAGCCGGCTGCCAGTGCGGCGGCTGGTAGAGGGAGTACTGCGTGATGTGGAACGTTCTTCACTGGAGGACATGGTGTCGACTCGACGGGCACGCAGTTGTTCTGAGCTGCGCCACTTACCAAACTGAATCAGATGCCACTGCGTGGCTGCTGCTGCTGTTGCTGGGAAACAAGGGCGTCGACTTCTTCCAGCGGAATATGGGAGCGGGGAGCGGCAACAGGGAGCTCGGGCGCGGGGTGCAGGAATGTATGGATAAGGATACTCGGCACGGGGCTCGAGAGAGTATGGATGCTCGGCGCGTAGCTCACGAGGCACACTGTGATATGGAAGGCGGCCTGCAACGCCGGGGTGAAACGCAGGAGTGGACGGCAGGCAGCTCGTCCCTGGGTGTGGCTGCAAGAAGGTTGGAACTGGCCGCGGACTAGTGGTATCCACGCTGGGCTCGCGATGGCGTGCCATCTTGAGCCAAAATGGCTACAGAAGGAGGAGGACGAGGAGGAGGAGGAGGAGGAGGAGGAGGAGGTGGAGCAGGAGCAGGAGCAGGAGAAAAAGGAGGAGGAGAAGAAGGCAGGCAAGGTGTGTTTCTTGGCATGGGCCCCCACTGTATGACCGGTGGGGGGGCGGGCGCCCTGCGTGCACCCTCGGGGCGGCCCGTTTTCCTGCAAGCGAAGAGGGAGGGGGGGGGTCTGGCTCTGGAATTCTGGTTAGTGCGACTGTTTGCGACAGTGCGTCCTGTGAGGGGAGGCTCCACCTGTTCGAGGCAGGCGCCAAACACAGCCAAGACCCACTCCATGGGGGGGGGGATGGGGAGGGGTGCGAGGGCCCGCGCCGATCGGCATAACAATGAATCAGAAAACGATCTCAATGCAAACACTGTTTGGGGAAAAACCTACAAGAACGTACTCACCACTGTCATCAACTCCCGTGTCTACCACCCTTCGTGCATCGCTCTGGCCTCAAAAGCCTTGCTCTGCTTCCCACGCGCGCTTGGCCTGTGCAGCCTCGAACTCTAGCGCATACAAAGATTTACGACGACAACGAAAGGATGGCGAACCCAACCGTCACAACGTGACCGTGATCCCGGAAATGCTCAGGCAAAGACGCTGGTAAAGTCTTGAACTGAACGACGTGGTAACTAAGTGGGTAGCGATGCTGAACACTCTGATAATCTTGACCAGCTATTATTTCAAGCGTTCAGCACATGACACAAGGTGTATATTCTGGTGGCAGAAATTCGGGATCCTCTTGACGGATGCAACGCAGCGATAACATGATGTTTCGCTAACTACGGCAACAGCCTGGCAATGGACTATCGGACAATGACGACGGCAAACGAACTCACATTTTGCAATGTGTGCTTCGTGCACCTTCGCGCACGTCCCACACAATATCTGGATGTCCCCCCGTGCTATCTGCAGGTCGCTGCTTCAGGCATGCACTGATGCCTTCTAGACGCACTAGCAACTTGCGCCGAAGTGCTGGCTTTCACACGAGCATTGCGGTGGCGTCTTGCACGATATTGCTTGGTGTAGCAGGAGCTTCGCCGACAAGTTCCATCATATCGTCGACCGTCCCGTTGTAGGTGGCATCCCTCCTGGCCAGGGAATACAGGAGCAGACAGATGCGGTAATGCCTGCTTTCAGGCCGATCCAACTACCCTATCCTCCGAGCCTGTGACAAAGGAGCGAAAAGACACTCCACCGATCCCCGAGCAATACTCGAGTTGAACGGGGCGCGTCCATGATGCCACCACGCAGCAACGACTGATTGGCTGGACCACGCGCCACTTCACCTGGTTCTCTAAACACCACCCTTGGAGTTCTGCCTCCCCCTCCTGCTCTTCCTCCTTTCCCTCCTCCTCCTCCTCCTCCTCCTCCTCCTCCTCCTCCTCCTCCTCCTCCCTCCTCCCTCCTCCTCCCTCCTCCCCTCCTCCTCCTCCTCCTCCTGCTCCTCCTCCTCATCCTCCTCCCCTCCTCCGCCTCGCCGTCCTCTTCCTTTTGTCCCCCTTCCCTCCCGCTCGCCTTCGCCGCCCCCCCTCTCTCCCTCCTGGTCCGTTCTGGCTCTAGCTCGGGGCAGCCGGCGCTGGCCCCGGGCGCTATGGGCGGCACACGGCGCGTGCCGCGTGGACGAGCGGGCCGTGCGCCGCGGAGGCACTGTGCGCCGCTGGGCGCCGAGGAGCGTGCCGAGATCGGCAGGCTCCCCCCTCCCCAATGGAGGCCTCCTCCCTTCTCCTCCTCCCTCCTCCTTCCTCCTCCTCCTCCTCTCCTCCTCCTCCCTCCCTCCCCTCCTCCTCCCTCCTTTCTCCTCCTTCTACTCCTCCTCCTCCTCCCTCCTCCTCCTCTTCCTCCTCCTCCTCCTCCTCCTCCTCCTCCCCTCCTCCCTCCTCCTCCGCCCCTCCTCTCCCTCCTCTCCTCCCTCCTCTTCCTCTCCTCCTCTCCTCCTCCTACCTCCCTCCCTCCTCTCCTCCCTCCCTCCTCCCTCCTCCCTCCTCCTACCTCCTCCCTCCTCTGGAGTAGATGGGTCCAGAGGACCGCGCCGCATCAGCGATACATCGGCGATGCATCAACGATGCATCGGCGACGTCGGCGATGCATCGGCGACGTCCGCGTGAAGGAGGTCGGGCTCCGCATCGAGCCGCATCGACGCAGCGCATCGGAGATGCGGCGCGATCCTCCGACCCCATCTACTCGGACCCATTCTAGGAGGCCTAGACCCAAGTGAGCCGATCCCAGGGCCTCGAGGCCCGCTCTCCTTGCGAGTAGGGGATCGACTACAGATGTGGTCTACCCCCAGAAACTGATTTGCTCGCCGAGTCTACGAAACATGCGTGGAATGCTCGTAGATCTGCAAAGGATTGATGTATTATTCGCTGCCGGGCCGACAGGAGGCCCCAAGAGGCTCTCAAGAGACCCAAAGAGGTCCCCAGGAAGCCTCAAGAAGCCCCAAGAGACTCCCAAACAAGTCCCCAAGAGTTCCTCTCCAGAGGCCCCCGAGAGCTTTCCGAAGAAAACCCAAGAAGCATCCATCTGGCCCACGTCAGCGTCGTCGTCGTTGTCGCCGCCGCCATTGTCGTCGTGGTTGCCCTTCAGGGTCGGCGGCACCAGCCGTAATGTCTTCGCAACTATCCTGGCGAAGGGCCCAACCATATGCCGTTGTGAGTACCGCGCTTGTGAATATCGCCTTCAGTGGAGCTCCCTGTGGGGCCACGAAACGTGAGGGGTGTTCCGAAATGGGCCTGGGGGCGCATGCGGGTCCAGCCACTGGGGCCTTCGGCGGAATTTCCCATGGGGTCACCAAACGTGTGAGGGGTGTGTTGGAATGAGCCTTGGGGACGCATGCGGGTGCTGCCATTGGGGCCTATGGGGCCGCGAAAAGTGTGAGAGTTGTACCGAAAATGGTCTGGGGACGCATGCAAGCGCTGCCACTGGGGCCGTTGGTGGAGCTCCCTATGGGGCCACGAAGCGCGCGAGGGGTGTGCCGATGGGTCTGGGGACGCATGCGCCACTGGGCCTCAATTGAAGCTCTCTATGAGGTCACAAAACGAGTGAGGGGTGCGCCGGAATGGGCTGGGGGACCGCATCCCCCCGCCCTGGGGCCTTAGTCGGAGCTCCCTCTGTGGCCACGAAACGTGTGCAGGGTTTGCCGAAATGGCTGGTGGACCGCATGTGCCCCCCCCTCCCCCCCCCTTTCTGGGGCCTTAAACGTGAGGTGTTTGCTGACATGGCTTGGTTACCGCATGTGGTCCCCCCTTCTGGGGCCTTAGTTGGAGCCCCCTATTTGGCTCTGAAGCGTGTGAGGGGTGTGCCGAAATTGACATGCGGAGGGCAGAGGCAGGGATGTGAGGAGGGGCAACGGCAGACAGGTGAGGTGACGCGGGGCGCTGCCTCTTCAAAACAAGGACCTTATACTACACGATAGGTCGGACAAAAACTATGGATCCGCGTCCCGAGCTTCCAAGACGGCCCATGCAATCAACCAAGGACACCAAGATGGCCAATATGCATCAAGACGGCCCAAGATGCCTCCAAGAAGGCCCAAACGGGCCACGGGATAACCTCCAACAGGGCCCGAAGGAACCACAATCATGGATTTTCCGTGATTTTTTGCATGCTTGTCGCATTCTGGCCTTGTCGGGCTTCCGTCAGGTCAAGAGGGCCCACGAAGCCTCCCTGATGGCCCCAAGACGGCCCAGGAGACTCCCACGAAGGTCGCAAGTTGGCCCAAGAGGTCCCCCGACGGCCCAAGAGGCACTCCAGACGGCCCCAAGATGGCCCAAGAGGGCCTCCCGTGGGACCCAAGACGGCCTTAGAAGGCCTTTCGACGGCCTAGGACGGCCCCACGACGGTCCCCAGGCACTAACCATACGGCCGAGAGGGCCCCAAGACAGCCAAAGAGAGCCCCAAGACGGCGTAAGAGGGCCCCAAGACGGCCAAAGAGGGCCCCAAGGGACTCCCGAGACTGCCTCACAGGAGGCCAAGACAGCCCCCAAACGGCCCAAACGGGCTCCAGGAGAGCTCCTCAAATCGTGAAGATGGAAAGTGACACATGGACACATCTGACGGCCTTCCTCATCCTCCTCCCTCTGTTCCTGATCCTCTTTCATCCGCTCCTCCTGCTCTTCCTCCTCCTCCTCCTTCTCCTCCAAGAATTTTCCTTATACATAACTTCTCCCTGTCTCACCCCGAGGCCGGTCGAATGGGCGGGCCGGGCGTTCCGCCTGAGACTTCCTCACCACGCATGACCTTGAAGCTTAAACATTGGCAACAGCTTCACGGACGGAGGGAGGGTCGTTTTCAAAATGTGCCTCTCGCCTTAGCGCCGCGCCCATTCGTTGTAGAAACTTGCAGCAGCTTTACGAATTGAGGGCGGGTGGCTTTCGTCTTATCGCCGCGCACATTCGTTTTAACATCTGCAAGAGTTTGACGGACTGAGTGCGGGTGATTTTCGAACTGTGGCTTTCGCCTTCCGCGCACATTCGTTTTCAACACTTAAAAGAATTTCACGGACTGAGGGCGGGTGGTTTTCAACATGTAGCTCTCGCCTTAGCGCTGCGCACATTGGTTTTCAATCTTTGCAAGAGCTTCACGGATTGAGGGCGGTTCCTTTTCAAGCTGTGGCTCTCGCCTTAGCACCGTGCACATTCCTTTTCAAACTTGCAAGGGTTTTACGGATTCCCATGGTCAACGTACCAGAAATTATGATCTGGAAAGATTCAGGATTATGAGGGCGCAACAATTACGTTGATTCGCGGTGTTGAAATCCCAAGAACGGCGTCCTGGCACGATTCCGGACCGTCAAGACGCAACAGTCAGGCTGATCCGTGGCGTTGGAGTCCCGAGAACACTGTGTTGACATGCTTCAGGGTCGTCACACGGTTGTCGTCTATCGAGGCAGTTCCCTCAGTGGAAATGAACACTTGTATGGGGCCTATGAAAGAGGGGGATTGGAGGGAGGGTCTATGCCAACATCATTGATGACTCTTGGGTTTACACTGGTCCGCCTCCTCCTCCTCCACTTTCTCTTTCTCATCACCATCACCACCATCATCATTGTCGTTCTCATCCTCATCCTCATCCTCCTCCTGCTGCTCCATCTTCTCCTGCTCCTCCTCCTCCTCCTTCTCCTCGCCATCACCATCATCATTCTCACACACATCCTGATCATTATCATCACTACGATCGTAATCACCATCACAACCACCATACTCATCACCGTCATCACCACCATCAGCATCATCATCGTCATCGTCACCATCACCATCATCATCATCATCATCATCATCATCATCATCATCATCATCATCATCATCATCATCATCATCACCAGCATCATCACTATCGTCATCACCGCCAGAATCATCATCGTCATCATCATCAACATCAACATCATCATCGTCGTCATAATCATCAACATCACCATCACCACCATCATCACCATCAGTAGCATCACCACCACCATCACTATCATCATCACCATCTTCATCATCATCGGCATCGCCATCATCATCGTCATCATCATCACCATAACCATCATCACCATCACCATCATCACCAACATTAGCATCACCATCACCACCGTCATGATCACCGTCACCAACATCATCAACAGCATCTGCATCAGCATCAGCATCAACATCATCATCACCATCAGCGCCACCACAAGCATCATCAGCATCATCATCATCATAATCATCATCAACATCACCATCAACATCACCATCACCAACCCATCAACACCATCACCATCACCAACATCATAAACACCAACATCATGATGATCATCACCATCATCACCATCATCATCACCATCACCATCACGCCTCTCTAAATTGCAAGAGCCTGTGTGCTATTTGCTGCAAGGACTTGTGGCCGCATGTTCAGACAACTACATTTTCTGCGAAGGGAAAGAAAAGTTGCAGAAGCCTATGTGCGCCGCGTGGTGTTCCTTGCAAGGGACTATGACCGCCTGGGCAGAACACCACATATCTGCAAAGGAACATGGAGGGGGGCCGGAACGCACAGAGGGCGACCGAAGGGCCCTGTTAGGATTTGAATCGGAATAAGCTCTTTGTTCTTAGGCTTTAAGGTTTGGGGCGGGATTCGGGTGTAGGCCCCAGGTGCGTCCTCCAGGAGCAGCTCGCCTGCACAGGCGCACCCTGGAGCGGGGGCAACGTGCAGTTGAGCCGGGGCCCGCCGCAGGCCGCCAAAACCGCGTCGTAGGCCCTGCACGTGGCCTGCGGCCCTCCTCCTCGTCCCCCTCGTCCTCCTCACCCTCGTCGTCGTCGTCGTCGTCGTCGTCGTCGTCGTCGTCCTCCTCCTCCTCCTCCTCCTCCTCCTCCTCCTCTCCTGGTACTCCTCCTCCTCCTCCTCCTCCTCCTGCTCCTCTGCCTCCTTCTCTTCCTACGCCTCCTCCTGGTGCTTCTCGTCGCCGGCGTCGTGGTCGTCGTCCTCCTCCTATATGTCCTGCTCCTGCTCCTGCTCCTGCTCCTCCCGCTGCTCCTCCTCTTCCTTCCTGTGACTCGTGACTGCGGACTGTGTCCTCCATCCTGGACCGAAGCCCTCGACCTCCCCATTGCCAGCGCCAGGGGGAGGGCAGGAACAAAAACATGAGGCTAAGGAAAAAGAAGCGCGAGAGACGAAGAATAAACACCTGAGCTGGACGATGATGGACACCTGCACTGGGAAGAGGAGGAGCAGGAGCAGGAGGAGGAGAAGGACCAATGTAAACCCACAATTCATCAACGATGTTGGAATACACCCTCCCTCCAAGCTCCCTCCTGACAAGCCCCTACAAATATTCATTTCCACTGTAGAAAGTGTCTCATAGGGGGACAACCGTGCGAACACCTTGAAGCGTGCCAAGACACCCCTCTCAAGACTCCAACGCCACGAATCAACCTGACTGTTGCGTCTTGAAGATCATGAACCGTGCCAGCACCGTTCTTGGGACTTCAGCACCGATGATCAGCGTAACTGCTGCGCTCTGACATTCGTGAATCGTTCCAGCACGCCTTTACTGGTACGTTGACTATCGGAATCCGTGAATCTCTTGCATTTTTACGAACGAGCGTGCGCTGCGCTGATGCGACTACCAAATTTTGAAAAGGAGCGGCTCTCAACTCGTGAAGCTCTTGCAAAATCTTAAGACGACTGAGTGGCGCTAGTGCGAGAGCCACATTTTAAACAGGAGTCGCCCTGAATCCGTGAAACTCTTGCAACTGCTTACAACGAGTGTGCGAGGCGCTACGGCGCGAACCACATCTCGAAAACCACCCGCCCTCAATCCGTGAAGCTCTTACATAATGTTGAACCGGATGTGCGCAACGCCAACGCGATAGCCACATTTTGAACAACATCCGCCCTCTAACCGTGAAGCTCTTGCACTTTTTTCAAACGAGTGCGTGCGGCGCTAAAACGAGAACCACATTTTGGAAGCGAGCCGCCCTCTATCTGTGAAGTTCTTGTCAGCTTTCAAGTTCGAGGCTCACAAGGGGCGAAGAAGTCTCAAGCGAAACGCCCAACCCGCTCTTCCGACTGGCCGCCGGGTGTGACAAGGAGGAGTTATACAGAAGGGAAAGGAAAGGAGGAGGAGGAAGAGGAGGATGAGGACGGGGAGGAAGAGGAGGACCAGTGTACAACCAAGAACCATCAACGATGTTGGATTGAACCCTGGATCAACCTGACTGTTGCGCCTTGACGATCCTGAATCGTGCCAGAACGCCATTCCTGGGACTTCAGCACCGCGAACCAACGCAACTGTTGCGCCCTGAAAATCGGGAATCCTTCCTACGCATTATTTCTTTTACGCTGGTCATGGGAATCCGTGCAAGTCTTGCGAATGGTACAAACGAACGTGTGCGGCGCTAAGGCGAGAGCCACGCTTTGAAAAAGAACCGCCCTCATGCCGTGAAGCTCTTGCAATTGTTCAAAACGAATTCAAGCGACAACCAAATTTTGAAAACGGCACGCTCTCAATCCGTGAAACTCTTGCAAGCAAATTTTGAGAACGAATGTGCGCGCCGCTAAGGCTATAGTGACATCTTGAAAACGACCCGCCCTCCCATCTGTGAAGCTGCTGCCAGTTCTAGAGCTTCAGGGTCATACGTTGTGAGGAGGTCTCAGGCGAAACGACCAGCCCGCCCTAAAAACTTGCCTCGGGTGCGACAGGGAGAAATTATAGATAAGGAAGAGGAGTGGAGACGGAGGAGGAGGAGGAGGAGGAGGAGGAGGAGGAGGAGGAGGAGGAGGAAGGAGGAGGAGGAGGAGGGAGGAGGAGGAGGAGGAGAGAGGAGGAGGAGGAGGAGGAGGAGGAGAGGAGGAGGGAGGAGGAGGAGAAGGAGGAGGAGGAGGAGGAGGGAGGAGGAGGAGGAGGAGGAGGAGGAACGGAAGGCGCCCGTGTGCTCCGGCGGCGGACAGTGCGGCTGCGGGGGTTGCCCGCGCGTGGGCCCCACCATTTCTGGGGTGGAGGGAGGAGCCCACCTCGGCGCGCCTGTCCTGGGGTGAGGCCCAGAGACTTCCCATCCTGTCCCGAGGTTCAGAGGAAAGAGGAGGAGGAGGAGGAGGAGGAGGAGGAGGAGGAGGAAGAAGAGGAGAAAGAGGAGGAGGAGGAGGAGGAGGAGGAGGAGGAGGAGGAGGAGGAGGAGGAGGAGGAGGAGGAGGAGGGGGAGGAGGAGGAGGAGGAGGAGGAGGAGGAGGTGTGTAAGCTGTTCTCCGATGGTGCGACGCGGCAGCGCAGCGGGAGAGGGCGGCGTGGGTGGGGAGCAGGGGGAGATGGCGTTGGCGCTGTGTTGACAGTCGCAGGCAAGCGGCGCGCGGCTTCCTGGGGGAGGGTGACTGCGAAAGGTGGGAACCAGTGAGCGGGGGGGGGGAGGGGTTGGGGGGAGCCCGAGCGGCGCCCCCATCCCCCCCGAGGGGAGGGTGAAGGCGACCTCGGCGCGGCTCTCAGGCGTGGGCGCGGCTGCCTGGTCCAGTGCCGCCGGGGGGAATACGTTGCTATGGACGTCGTCGCAGTCGGCTGGCTGCGGGGGAAGGCTTGGGCCCTTCTCTCCTCAAGTGATGTGAGGGTGGTGACCTTCTGACAATTGGGTCGAAAGACTGCCGGGTAGGGCACAAACTTTGAAACCCTGAGATCTGGGGGAGGCCTCCTAGGTTGAGCTTCTCGTCGTGCTCGAGGTCCTGGTACAGCTCGTGTGACTGTCGCAACTTTCCGACTCCTTGTCGGCGGCTGCGCTATTTTCCTCGGATATTTGTCGCAGCCGGCTATCTTGATGACGAGTAGGTTGCCGTGGGTGCCATTAGTCTTTGGTCGGCCTCTGGGTGGGCATAGGCGTTGGCGGCGGAATCAGCTCCAATTCCACGGTGTCCACGTCGTCAGTGGTCCAGTTGGTGATGGCGTTGCCGTTCTCGTCTGTTGTGTTCGTGGCTACGTCCCTGTAGATGTGGACCGGTCTCGTGTGTTGTAGTTCGCCGAGTTCGGCTGGCCTCGTTGGTAGATTGTCTGCGCCCAGTCCAAATGTCAGCACTATTGGTTCTCCTGGTCCGATTGGTAGTCTCGTTGATACCGTGTGTCCGTCGAAGCGGGTGATCTCGTTCTGGCTGAGGCAGCCTAGCGGTGCCTGGTCTCTGGCGGGGTCTCCAGGCAACGCCTGTAGCCACCCGATGGTGTGCGGTGTGCTGAGGTGGCTGTCTTTGGTGAGAATGCACGCGTCGGTGGTTGGGTGCATGGCCTTCGCTCCCAGGGTCTGGAAGACGCCCCTTAGGTGCATGCAGACGGTCCTAGCCTTAGGTCGGGCATGTCCTCCTACAGACGGGTTTTGGAAGACAAGTAAGCAAACCATATCCAAAAACGTTCAAGCATAATAAAACATCGTCTCATACTTCTTTGATTATTCTCGAACATCCTTCCCATAGAGACACGTGCCCGACTTCATCCTGGCCTCTGATTGTGTCCGGATGTTGTAGTCTGGCGCGGTGCCCCGGCGTGCGACGTCGACGTCCGCGGCGACGTCCACTTCCGCGGTGGACGGCGGGGCGCTCCTCCATCCCGAGGGCTCTGGGCTTTTGGTGACCTGCTTGGCGTGGCTCCTCCTCCTCCTCCTCCTCCTCCTCCTCCTCCTCCTCCTCCTCCTCCTCCCTCCTCCTCCCTCCTCCTCCTCCTCCTCCTCCTCCTCCTCCTCCTCCTCCTCCTCGTCCTCGTCCTCCTCCTCCTCCTCCTCCTCCTCCAAACTGCTCGAGTCTGGTCCATTCCTTCCCCGGGTGTCTCTTGGACGGGGCGTCGAGCACGAGTAGGACTGCGCAGCGGACTGCCCCAACCCCACCCGACGACCCGAATTTCGGGTTTGGGGGGGTGGGGGGGGCGGGTTCCATATGCGTTGTCTCAATGTTCCCCGACCTCCCCCCACTGGAATAAAGGCCTCCTAGATGGGGTCCGAGCAGATGGGGTCGACGGATCGCGCCGCATCACCGATGCATCGGCGACGTCGGCGGTGCATCGGCGACGTCGGCGTGGAGAAAATCGAGCTCCGCATCGAGCCTCGTCGCCGACGCGACCCTCCGACCCCAAGTGCTCCGACCCCATCTGGGAGGCCTAGATGGACGTGGCTGGCAAATTGAGGCCTTCGGGTTGGGTTGGGGCGGCCTGGTGTGTGGCGAGCACTAGTCCTAGGTCGGGCGAAAGCTCAAACGCAGCCGAACACACTCAAAAACAGTTACACACACATGCTGAGGAAATCGTCCCCCGACCATTCTTTCACTATCTTTGCGCATTCCTCCTGTAGAGGGAAAGGGCCCGCTCCTCCTCCTCCTCCTCCTCCTCCTCATCCTCCTCCTCCCCTCCCTCCTCTCCTCCTCCTCCCTCCCCCTCCTCCTCCTCCTCCTCCTCTTCCTCCTCCTCCTCCTCCTCCTCGTCCCGGGATTCCCCATAGTTTCCCACATCTTCTGGGTGTTCGCCTCCCCCCCACTGAGCAAGCAGGTGCCGGGGTGGTCGAAGGAGCGGAGCCGGAGCGCCTCGTCCATCCTTTCGTAGACCGTGGCCCGCCATCTTTCGATGATCGCTAGTAGGCATGCAAGCGTGGCGCGGTGCTCGTATGGTGTCTTCCTGCAGCGGACGACGGTCGTTGGAGCCACGCACACGGTGCCCCCGTACACAATGACGTATGTGTGCTCTGCGGACAGCGTGTGGGGTGCAACCTGATTGTGCGTTCTTCTTGGCGATCCCGCTGCAAGCCTCCGCTGTGCCCAACTCCGTGTGGCTGTCCTTGTTGGGTGGTGAGCGCGTTGTGCGGTGCGCCGTATTTGTTCTGGCAGCGCTGGGTTTCCGACATCCTCAATGGTCTTGACGAGCTCCGCGTTAGGAGCGCTGGTGTCCTTGTAGGCGGTGTGGATGACGATGCGGACATGAAAGATCACTGCTAATTTCTGTGTAGTACCCAATCAGTTCTCGACGTCCAATATTTATAGTCGTTGATGCCACCCTCGTAGATTATCTGGGGTCCAACCTCTCGAGGTTGCTCCATGTCCTGGTCGAGCGGCCTCGGTCCTGGCGGTCTGGAGGCCCTTGCCATGATGGTTATTCGAGCTGTTGGTTCCTGGTGGTTCTTGGAGCTGAATCTGCGGCATGAGATTCATGGCATGCTTGGCCGATTCTGAAGAGGGAAGAAGGAAACTAACGATGCAAGATGCTGTTTGTGTCGTCTCGTCTTGCCCGTCTATCATTGTGCCTTGCGCGTGTGCTAGCGCGTCCCGATCTCATCCCTCGCTGGCTGGTTCACTTTCGCGTGGCAATCCATTGGGCGGGTCGTCTTGGCGATGATTACTGCCCGAGGTAGAGGTGCGTGTGCAATTTAGTCAAGGTTGTGTTCCTCCTCCGCCGTTCGGTGCTGTAGTTGTAGTCCGAGTCTCCCTCATAGTGCTTCAATGTCGAAGTGGGCGTAGGCTGGCTGCCCGCTGTCCTAGCTGCCCCCCAGGCCTAGGAGGGGGTGGACAGGCGTGTTGTCGTTTGGGGCATGTTGTCGCGCGCTGCCAGCCGCTCAATTCGCCGCGTGTCCCATCGAGGGTGGGCTTTCAAACGGATAGGTCGTCGGCGTAGGTTGTGGCTGTCCCCCCTCCACGTCTTCGAGTCGGCAGCGGGCGTGGGAGGGGGTGGGCGGCGTGTGTCATGGCGTGCTGTCTGTACGTGTAGAGACGGGATAATGAGTAAGGGTGGGGACGACGTCCTTCCCATTGAGCCAAAAAGCAACCAGGTTAGGCGCTCAACATCTGCAGCGCTGGTGGACGCTAGTCTGGCGATGCGCAGGTTGTCCACTCCGGCCAACAATGTGTCCATCCCTCGCAGCTGGCGGTGCCCGAGAAACGCGTGTTTTCTGGCCGTCTGTGCTCCCTTGCCTTCCGAGCATAAGCGCCTGTAAGGGAGTGCGTCGTCGGGCGCGGGGCGAGCCGCGAGCGCGTCGCGGTTTGGTGGCCCAGACGGTCCGCCGCATGTGAAGGGGCCCTGAGACACACAAATAAATACACACAAATAAAAGGATTCCCCATACTTTCCCATATTTTCTGGGTTTTTGTCTTCCCCCCCACTTCCCACATTTTCCCCTATTTTCCTGGGGATCGACGATTCATTGTGTCTGTGCGTTTTTTCCCTCCTGAAGCATGTCCTGTCGTCAGCAGTGGGCTTTGAAGCGGCCGCCTGGGTGTCGCGGCGCTGCCCCGCCTCCGTGTCTTGAGGTCGGCAGCAGGCGTGGGGTGGGTAGAGGCATGGCTCGCGTGCTCGTAATATGCTGTTGGTTGGTGTAGTGAAGGGGCCCCAGGACACAGATAAATACACACAAATAAAAGGACTCCCCATATTTTCCAATATTTTCAGGGTCTCTGTCTTCCCCCCCACTTCCCATATTTTCCCATATTTTCTGGGGAATCGAAGATTAATTGTGCCTGTGTGTTTCTTTCCTCCTGAGTAATCTGCTGTTGGTTGGTGGTGGCGCGGTCCTTGTTGTCCAGGCGTCGCTGCTGGCTGCCGGCTGGTCGGATATGGCGGCGGCGAAGAGGTGGGGGTCGAGGGGGAGGGGGAGGGCAGGAAAGGCTGCGGGATCCCTTCGCCGTGCATGGGCCTCAGTGGAGGCCCTGTGTCCTTCCCTCGGGCTAGGCGTTCAAGAACGCTATGTTGGAAATCGCCAGTCGGGTGGCAGCTGGGCGCGTCGCCCGTCCTTGCGTCGTTCCTGCACAACAGATCATGCTCGAGAAGCTGCTGCTTGGGGCCTCAGGAGGTGCGCGTGGTGGTTAGGGATGCAGAGCTTTAGGTTGGTTTGGTCGGTGGCGTCGGTGTGTCATGCAGTCCGCGCTGAGGTTGAAGTCGTAGTAGGGGTCCACCGGGGGGTGTAGAAGTGGTGATGTTGCTCGGGCAGATCCCATTTATCTGCTTCGTCGCGGTGTCCCCGAGCTCGCGCTGTCGCCGTGCCCGATATTGTGCTGTCGCTTTAGAGATGGCTGCCGTGGTGATGGAGCGCATGTCGGTCGGGTGTGTCTTCGCGGCTGCGCACTTCGACGTGATATCTTGGATCCTCCCAAGCGGCGGTGGGTGCGCTCCTCGTCCGTGGTTGTTGCGCCTGCAGTTTTCGGGTCGGGCCATGGTGCTTTCCGTGAGCTGCGGGGCGTGGGTGCACAGTAGGGTTGTGGGCTTCCTCGCGACCTGGCTTATCATGCATTGGTCGAATGATGTTGCATGCTCCCGGTAATTCCGCGTTGTGCGTGACCTCGGGAAGTAGTCAGCTGCCTGGTGCTTTCCTGCTGTCGCTCGCTGTCTCAGGGTGCCCCATGATGGCGGGGATCTCCAGGTTAACGGCTGCGCGCATGAAAAGCAGTGTGCCTCGTAGCTTTTGGTTGCCGATGTCGAGCTGGCGCCCCCTCTATGGGTCTTGTTTGCTGCGGTCCAGGTTTCTCCTGGCGGTCCAACCGCGATGGCGGCCGCGTGCCTTTGGTACATGCTCTATCCAATGCTCAATGGTGTCCCAACACAGGTCAGGTCGCCTTTCTTCGCGTGGTTGGCAATGTCGACGCGGGCGCCGGCATGCGGTCCATCCACTATCCGTCCTTTTGTTGCCCACTGCAGCAACTTTGGCTTGAATCCCTCGCCCTTTGCCATGGCTGGTTCGGGGCCCGTCGCTACCTTGCTCTGGTGCTGGCGTGGGTTCTGGCCCCCGTGTAGTGGCAGTCGGATCCCTCGTGGTTCGTTGGAACGTCTGTCTTGTAGCAGGGCGCGTCCGCGTGGTCCTGGGGTCTTGCTGCTTTGATGTTGCTCCGCTGTGCGGCTCCTCTAATGCCTTGTTGTTCCCCATGTCCTGCTCGGGCAACCGCGTGGCCGCGTTGTGCCGCGGCGCCGCGCGCGCGGGCGTGGACTTGCGGTGCTTCGCGGCGAGTCTGGCGCGCGCGCGGCACTACCAGCAGCGCGCGAGGCGTCTTGTCCCAGGCGCCCATGCTGCGGGAGTCGTGTCCGGAGGGCGCTCGTTCCCAGCGCGTGCCAAGTAGGCCTGCTTAGTAGCAGAAGTCGTCCCGCCACTTCCTGTCCGCGCGCGGGCATGGGTCTCCCTGTCTCTTTGTTCCCCCTCCTTGGTATGTTGGGGACGTCGTCGGTTACGCGGCGCAGCTTGGGCCGCCTGTGACATTGCTCGCGCCATCTGGCATTTCTCGGGTGTCTGTGAAGGTCTCTGCTGCTCGTCGAGCTTGTAGCGGAGCCACTGGAGGTCCTTGTTGATGGTCTCGATTCATCTCCACTTCGCGTCTGCGTTGGCGCCTGGGAGCATAGGGACAGGAGTGTGGGCGTGCTGTTGTAGTCGAGGGAACCGTGTTGAGCGTGAGCCTCCTGGCCATGCTGTGGATCTCCTCGTTCGTGATGGCGTCGTTGGCTTGGTTCTTCGTCTTGTGGCCGCCAGCCAGACGGCATCCCTCCATGCACTCTGCGGGGGGGGGGTCCTCTCCGGTCGCCGCGCTCGTTCCATGCGTGGATGTTGAAGAGCTTGGTGAGGGCCTCGGTGAACGGCGCCTTCTTGTTGATCAACAGTGTCTTCCTGGGGTATACCTCTTTCCTTGATGGCCCTCTCGACGCGATCGCATGGGGCGTCCGCGTTCTCAGCTCTGGTCCTATATGAAGGTGATCCTGGTGCCCGGCGCTCGTTGCTGGATGCCGACCCCCGCGAGGTCTGAGAGGAGGTCTACGCCGACGTCGTGGATGCTCTTATTTGCCACGTCATCCTGCGATTTGGTGGGCCCCTTTCAAGTGAAGCCCATCGTGGTCTTTGTCCTCTTGGTGTTTGGCTTCATGCCAGTGGCGATCGTCCGTGTCGTGATGATGTGGGGCCGCTTTGTGGCTGCGTCGTGGGCGTTCTCGGGGTCGGTGACTGCGCGCGCAATGATGTCGCCCGCGAATGAGGCGTCTGTGAGGAACCTGCCTCCGACCTGCTCGTAGGATGGTTCTCCGTTTGGCCAGTAGAGGGTCTCCGTCTCCAGGTTCTGGTTGGCCTTTCGCAGGCGACGGCCTCCTCGGGCATGTCCTATGCGATCGCCTCGGTGACCTTGGCGAACATGTAATTTGAAGGTTGGGTCTGGCGCCGGCGCTCCAGGTCGGGTTCCAGTCCTGGCTTGCGCGATTCCATGCGATCCTCTGGCGGTGGCCCACGCGTCGGCGCGGGCATCTCCCATGAGTGCGCAGAGGTGCTCGTCGTCAGCACGGAGTCGAATGTTGGGGGCCACCTCGTGGCTTCTTCCAGCGCTGGAGGTTGAACGGGCGGGGTGTCGGTGGCCTCCGCTAGGTCGATCATCTCGCCCGTGTCGGCGTTGGTTTTGCATGCCATCTGGATGGCCACTTCGTAGGATGCGCCATTGACGTCGAGGAACAGCTTCACCACCGCTGCGCGCCCCTCCTTCTTCACGTGGCTGAGGTCGCTGATCTTGGCGCGGGTCGCGAAGTCAGAAGTCAGTGCTGTGGCGCGGCCTTGCCCCAGCTTGGACGCTCCTCATCTGGTCTCAGGTTGCTGCCCTGAGCACTCCCCGCAATTATGCGCGGTGGTGCTTGGCGATGGCGTCGTCGAAGAAAATCGCCCCTCGCGCTGCAATGTCCAGCATGGCGCTGTCGGATTTGGCCGGCTTCCCTCGTGGGATAGCGGCTCCTCCGTGGCGATCTGGGCCATGGTGATGCGCGGGCGGAACAGCTCTGACATTTCTTGTGGTTCTGCCGCTGCTAGGTCGTTCAGGATGCCGTCGGGCCCCCTTTGTCTGCCGCGTGGTCAGGTTGCTATGAATTCTCTCCAATCGTCCCTGGTCGCGACGTTGTCGGTGGGGGCGTCCATCGTGGTCCAGGTAATGGCCGCGTCCGTGAGGCAATGGCCCCAGTCGGCCTCCGCCTGCTGGTCTGCGTTCTCGATGGTGCTGCCTTCCGCGTCGAGAACGCGCCGGTGTTGTGGCGCTACTATTTGCGATATCCCCCGAAGGGTTCGCAATCTCCCCGGTGCCTTTCTTTCCACGGTGGGGTCGCCGTCGACGATTCGATGTGCGATTTTGTCCCAGAAGTTGGAGCGCCTCCATGGCGTCTGCGAGCTGCGGCGGCGCGGCCCGAAAGAAGGCAGTAACTGCCAGCGCCATCTCACAATGGTCGATCTCGTAGCGCGCCAGCTGGGCCGCGTCGGCGACGAGGTTGATGCGTGCATCGGTCCGTCGAAGTGCTTCCATTGCCGCATCCGCAAGTGCACTGGTCTCGTGGAGCTGGTAATCTATATTTGGGTGATTTGGATTTTGGCCGAGGGTCGACCTCGCGTCGCCCGCAGCCCTCGGTGCGCGCATGGGCCTTGGGCGGGCCCTTCTCGCTCCAAATGTGCAAAGCTGGGCTCGGCGATGTGTAATTTGTGATGTCGCGTGCCGACTTGTTTCAATGCTGTCTGAGCTGATCTTTCCATTTGTTGAATCAGCCCGTGGGCGTGCGCATTGATGTCGGTTGCCCATGCGCGGTCGTCGATGGCGTCGAAGTCTGTTCGGAACTTGACAATGTGCTACGGGCCCACGAGCTCCTAGATCGCGGGAGTCGAGCCTCGGTTTTCTATCTTCCGTCACGCAACGCTGGGGCACTTGTTCGGATCGTACTGGCAGGTGGTCTTCGTCATCATGGTGCACGTCGAAAGTGTCCACCGACTTGGAATATGTGGTCGTGCTGATACGTTCGTTTGGGATCGCGATGTACCGTCTGTGTTACCTGCTGCGTTGACTGCAGTCGTGCTGTGGTGAAGTGCGCGTGTGATGGCCTCCCTCTGTTCTCTGGCAAGGCGTGGCCGTGTCCCCGTTGGCGCGGGATGTGATTTCGCAAGTTATGCTGTTGAAGCCGATGAGCGGCATGCCGACCTCGAAGCGCCCGGTGTCCTCAGATGAGGCGCTCCAGAACTCCACTGCCACGTCGCGGCTGCGGTCGCCGCGCGGCGCTCGCGCGGCTGCCGCAGTTCTTTGGGGCCCTGGAGCGGGGACCTTGCTGATGAGGAGCCTCGGGTTTTTTTTTCCGAAGTTCATTGCCATCGCGTTGCGGTCGGACGTAGCGCCCCAGGTCCCCATCCTCGCAGCGTGGCAGGTCGGTGCCGGTGATTGGTGGGCACCCTCGGTTGTGGTTGACATGTCCACTGGATGTGGTGCGCGGCCTGTTTGCAGAATGAGATCCTTCCGGAAGTCTGGCCTCCTGCATGCCAATGAGGTGTGTGCGCATGTGCTTCATGTGTGCTCTGACTGCTGTGATCCTGATCGCTGACCTCTTCTGCCGTTTGCTGGCGTGCTCGGGGTTCTTGGAGCTCCTGGCATTGAAAGTCACGGCCTTGACCTTGATGGGGGTCTTGGTGCGTCTGACCTTCTTCTCCAGCGTCAATGTTTGGAGCTCTGCGTGCGCTGCCGGAGGTCGCGCCGCGAGTCCGATGCGGGTCGTGTCGGGGCATGCCACTCTGATTCCTCCCTCTGTTTGTTCGAGACATTTTTCCGATATCTTTCTCTGCTGAAGCGGGGTGCGCGGGCCCATTCAGGTCGGGGGCGTCCGTCGCCCCTCTTGCGTTGCCACTCGGCCAGTGAAATTGCTATTTCGCTCCATGGACGTCCCTGGCGCGCGCGGGCGGTCCGCTTGCAGGTCGGCGGCTGTCTTGGCATGGCCATGTAAGATTTGCGCTAGTACTGGCGAGCTCTTCAGTTTGTTGGACCTGTATCTCCCCCCCCGCAAGTTCTACGGACACCTGCGAATCGGCGCGAGGCGCGGCGCTGGGTCTGCGATTGTTGTTCGCAGCGCAGGCGTAGATCCATGCGCGTGCCCGCGCGGGCGCAGCCAACTCCGATTCGGTGGACTCGCGCGGTCCGCTGTCGCCGTTGATGGCGGCGTCGTCCGTCGATGCGGCCACGGCGCCGCGGCGTGCCAGGGCGCCCGCGCCCTCTGCGACGACGACGGATGCCCGGGCTTTTTCGGCCGAGGCTACCTGGCGCGCGCCGTGAGTCGAGGTGCAATCGTCTGACGTCTTACGTCTCTCTTGGTTGGCATCTGCTTTGGGCCATCTTCGAAGGACTTGCCTCGCGCGTTCGCTGCGTCGCTGACGTCGCCCATGTCCCAGGCGGGCGCAAAAGGCACCCTGCGTGGCGAACGCGCGCAAGAAATTGCTAGCGCCGGGGTTGCGGCGTCGAATTTGTGGTTCCTCGATTATTCTAGAGGTTGCGCGAAACTCTGGCAGGACTGGGCTGTCCCGCGCAAGCCCGGGGCGGGCGCGACCTCTGTGTCTCCGCCCCCTTCCGTGCCCAATTTACCCTACCTTCCACCGTGGGCGGAGTCGACCGTCGCGTCGCCGTCTCCCGCCGGAATTGGCACTCTCGCGTGGTCTTCGTCTGATGGGAGAGCAGAGCGGAGTCTCGCCTTGGTGCGGTCGGATGCCGCTGCTCGCTCTTGGTCTTTTCGTCGCAGCGTCTCTTCCTTCGCGAGGTCGGTGGCTCTGTGATTGGGGCCTTGCAGGCGCGCCCATGCAAGGGCTTCCCCGCGCTTGATCTGGCGTCATTGGCTCGTCTGGCGCTGGCTGAATCGGCCCCCGCCCCCCCGGAATTAAGCCGTTGGGGAAGTCTCCGACGAGGATTTCGTGGTCGTCTTTTCCGAGTTCTGGTGTTGAGATCTCGAAGTGCTATCCTTCGGCTTCTCGTGCTTCGGCGATGCGCCCCCCCGGGTCCTTCGGCGCGTCGTGTGGCGCTGCCGTGGGTGACCTCCTTCTTTGCTCCACTGACACGGGGGCCCTGGCCCCGCCCGTCGATCGGCGCTTAATGCGCCGCGGGTGTGGAGTCGGCGTCGGTAGAAATGCGTCGCCTGGCTAGTGCTTTGGCATGTGTGCATCGTCCTGCGCGGCTGCGACGTCATCTGGCGTCTTCGTAGGCGTCGGCGTTGTTGTGCCGTCTTGGTCGGCTTCCTCTGTAATTTGTGGAGTCGCGGGGTGGTAAAATATCAGATCGGTGCGCGTGTCGTATGGCATCTCGGCTTCTTCCGGATCCTTCTTGAACTCCTGTTCCCTCAGCATTGCCTCCTGGTACTCGTTGTGACTGCTGTTAGCTCTGATGGTTTCCCTTTGTGCGTCCTTGTCCTTGACGGTGGCCCACTGTTTCCATCCCAGCCTGTGCCCCCTCGCACGGTTGATATCAATTGTGGTTGCTGTCGTGGTTGCTGCCTGTGCTTGCTGCTCTGCCAGTTCTTGTAGGCGCATCATGTCGTTGCTCTTCCTCGCGAGCATATCGCATGCGTGCTTCTCGTACGCTCTCTGTCCATGTAATAGCTTTTGCGCGTTCCAGTGCCTCCGCACATGCCTGGCTTTTCTTCTGTATCTCCATATGTTAATGTGTGTTCGCTTCCTTGGCTGCGTTGCGTATAGCCCTGGCTACGCTGGTGATGAGCTGGGCCTTAGCTGCCTACTGCTGGCATCGGATGACCTGGCTCTCCCCGAAACTCTTGACTCTGAATTCTGGTTGTTGTGTTTTTAATGCTGCTTGGTATGGTCGTGGTGGTGCTTCTGCATGTAGGCCTCTTGCTTGCGGCAGTCGAGTTCGCTCTTGTGGGCCTGTTCCTATAGTTCCTTCTGCTGGCTGCCGTCGTGGAATGCCTCCTCTTATCTGAGCTCGGCTTTCTGTAGTTCCAGTCGTTGCTGGGTGGTGGTGTCCTCGCACTCCTGGCTCTTGGTTTCGTCGGTGGCGGCGTACTGTTATGCGATGTAGTTCCCCTGTCTCGATGCCTTCTGAAGCTCGTCGGTCACGTATCCGGCATGATGTTGCGCGTTGGACGTGTGCTTGTTTGCTGTCTCGAGCTGGACCCTGGGCGCCTCTTCTCATTGCCCGACTCTATGTAGATCCTGGCGCAGCTGCCCTCGTGCTTCTTGATGTGGCTGTCGCTCTTTTGTTTGAAATGTGATTATCTCTCCTCGTGCTCCTCCTTGGCCGAATGGATTTCGTTGTCGCTGTTGGCCTGAAGGTCCCTGGCGGTCTTGAGTAGTTGCTGCCGCTCGTCGCTGAGAGTGTCAATCTCCTCGCGGTACGTCTTGTTGTCCCCTTCGTTGACTGCACCGCCCTCGTACGTGCCCTGTATGCTATCCCTCTGTTGCCTGTACGCCGTCGCCTCGCCCCTGTAGTGTGCCGTCGCTGGCTCTTCTCTGTGGAGCTTCTTGTTGAAGGTCTCGTAGCAGCGGTCTCGCTTGCAGATCCTGCTGTGTCGTCTACCTGGGTGTGGGGTGACGCTCTTTTGCCTGATTCTGCTTGGCGGTTTGTGGTTTTCGTGCTTGTCGTCCGCTTCTGGCTCTTCGTCTTCCCCCGATAACGTCGTGCTTTATTGATGTGTGCCCGTCGGGTGGGGTGCTCCTGTGCCTTGTTCCTCTCGTCTTCAAACGTCTCCTTGTGTTCATCAAGATCCTTGAGCTGGCTTCTGACGGGAAGCTGTTCTAGATCATGGCTTTGGTGAACGCAACCATCTTGAGCGGGCCTTCTACGGGTAGTTTGGCGTACTCTTATGGATCACGGTTTGGGTGAGCACGATCGTGCACTGCGGGTCTTCAGTGGGTAATTGGGCGTGGTTGTTCTTGAGTGCGCCGAGCGCACATGATTTTAGCATTTGGAGTTTGTTGCTCCTCAGCGTGGTGCCAGTGAGGATCTTGGCCGTTTCCCCATTGGAGGTGGTTGGTCGCGCTCCTCTTCCTCATGGGCAAAACGTCCGAGATGATGGTGCAGATCATGGCGTTGCGCTGTGCGGTCGCCTTCTCGTTATCGTCCTGGCCGTCTCCTGCTCGTGCTTTGTGATCGGAGGTGAAGGGAAGAGATCGAAGTGGAACGGAGAACCCCCCTACCGGGAAATCGGTTTCGGTTTTGTGTTCGTGCGTGCCGTGCGTGCGGGCGAGGCGAAGCTGCGTGGGCGGGCGAGAAGGAAGACTCCTCCGGCTGAGGCGCGGCCGGACCAAATGATGTTGATGATGATGATGCTGCTGATGGTGATGGTGTCCCGATGATGATGATGTGGATGATCTTGGTGATGTTGATGATGATGGGATGATGATGATATTATGATGGTGATGAATGTGAAGATGATGATGGTGCCCCGATGATGATGGTGTTGGTGGTGATGGTGTCCCGATGATGCTGTTGATGGAGATGATGATGGTGTCCCGATGACGATGATGATGTGAATGATGGTGATGTTGACGATGATGGTGTCCCGATGATGATGATTATGATGATGATGACGATGATGATGATGTTGGTGATGATGTTCATGATGATGATGGTGAAATGATGATTGTGATGGTGGTGTTCCGATGATGGTGATGATGGTGTCCCGATGATGATGTTGATGATGATGGTGACGATGATGGTGTCCCGAAGATGATGATGGTGATGATGATGATGTTGATGATGATGGTGATGAGTTGATGTTGACGATAATGGTGTCCCGATGATGATGATGATGATGATGATGATGATGGTGATGCTGATTATGATGATGATGATGACGTTGATGCCAGCGATGTCGGTGATGATGATGATGATGATGATGATGACGTTGGTTGTGAGACCGATTGTGATATCGATAGTGAGATCGATAGTGAGACCGGTTGTGGGATCAATTGTGAGACCGATCGTGAGATCGATAGTGGGATCGATCGTGAGATCGATAGTCACATCGATTGTGAGATCGATCGAATGAAATAGACCGAATGAGATCGATTGTGAAATCGATCGAGTGAGATCGATCAAGCGAGATCGATCGAGCGAGACCGATAGTGAGATCGATAGTGAGATCGATAATGAGACCGATCGAGTGAGACGTTGGTTCCTCCCCCCCCGAACCTCCTTATCACCCGAAGGGTGGTCGTATAGGTATTGTTATTGTCCTTCTGGGTGCTCTTGCCGTTCTTCAAATTCCAGTCGGGGCTGTCTTCTTTTCAGTTGGCCAGTCATGCGCCAACTGCTGGCTTGGGTCGTGCTGCTGGCTTCGGTGACGGTTGTGGTCGTTGTGGTCGTGGTTGCCACTTGGGTTGGCACTTCGGCGCCATAGTAGCTGCGTGAGACCGAGGTTGTTGCTGTGCGCTGTGGTGGTGCGCGAAGAGCAGCTGAGGCATGAGGGCTCGAAGCAACGTGCAGGAGTTGGCTCTCTCGCGTCGGAGCCGCCTGTGCCAGGCGGGGCTCCTGGATCTGGTGGTCGTGGACGTCAACGTGGGCCTTAGTGGGGCGACGAGAGATGGAGGTGCTGGTATCGCGGGCGCGCGCGCGCGCCTGCGGTGTGGGGCGGGCGCCCCGCTGGCCGCCGCCACGAGAGAGATCCTACACCTAGTGGAAACCTCTCAGACGCTCGCGGTTCCTCCTCCTCCTCCTCCCTCCCTCCTCCTCCTCCTCCTCCCTCCTCCTCCTCCTCCTCCTCCTCCTCCTCTCCTCCTCCTCCTCCTCCTCCTCCTCCTCCTCCTCCCTCCTCCTCCTCCTCCTCCTCCTCCTCCTCCTCCTCCTCCTGGTCCCCCTCCTCCTCTTTGCTCATTGCCCTCCCTCTCGTTTCTCCGCTCCTCCTGCACCTCCTGCGCTGTATACCTCCTCCCCCCGTCCTCCGCCTTCCCCTTTAGCTCCCTCTTTCCCTGCCGTCCCCGTCGCTGACGCCTCTCGGTAAGATCCTGGAGCCCAACCTCAAGCCCCTGGGAATTGGCCTTCCTTCCCTGTCCGCGTCTTCGAGCTAGGTCTGGGCGCGGCGCGAACTGCCCCGGGGCCAAAGGAGCACCGCAACCTCTGCTGGGCCGCCTCTGGGGCCTGCCTTCCGCAATCCCAGCGCAAGGCGGACAGCATCTCGCCCTTGGACGGTCGGAGAAGGCCCGGGGGCGACCCAGGGAGGGGGAACGGCCAGAGAGGCCACGCGGGGAAGGGGGGCTGCTCGACGCCGGCGGCGCTCCAAGGCCACGGTGGAGGTCTCGGAGGAGCTCATTGTTTTACTGTTTGCAATAACGTGAGGATTCGCACCGGCGCCGTCTTGGCATGATCCGTTCTCAGGCATTCCCAGGAGGCGCCAGCGCGAATCGTGGCGTGACCAAGCCCCCCTGAAGGTCACGCCCGTTACCGCCACGAGATAACGAAAACTGTCTCGAGGACCTGGGATCAGAGGGCGCGGAGGCGCACGGGGGCGTGGTGCGCCCAGGTCGCCGACCCGTCGCGCTCTGCACCGCGCGGCGCGCGACTATTCTTCGGGCTCTCGCGCTCGTCCCCAGAGAGAGAGAGGAACGCCTCTCAAGCCCAGGCCGCGGAGAGTGCTAAGTGCGGTTATGTTCGGGCACCTGCAGGTGACCGAGGTGTGCTGAGGTAGCCCTCCAGGGGTTGGACGGTTTCGACCCCCCCGCCCCCCCTCCCTGCGAAGCCCGCTGGGGATGGGAAGGTTTCGCCCACTCCCTGCCCCTGGAAGAGTTTCGCTCGCACAGACAGGGGCAGCCTCATATTCGGCGGCGCGACCGGGGAGGGGAAGTGAGAAGGGGCGGGCCTTCTCGGAAGGCTCGGGAGCCCCCCAGCTTCTGAGACGTTTCCTGAGCTTTCCCCGAAGACACAAAAAACCTCTCAGAAGGCGCGAAGGCTTCTGAGAAGTACCGCCGCCTTCTCAGATTGAGCAGGGGCCGACCGTCCCGACATTCTTACAGGTCTACCACGACATGTTCTTCGAACCCACAACTGTTCTAAGGACAACACCGATGTCCTGAAAACGTGCAGAACCCGATGCGTGAAAGCAAGACTGTCCCAATTAGAAATGTTATAAGAACGGCTCGTACAGAGCACAAAAGGTTCTTAGCACATTTTTCGGTGAGCCTATAGGCAAGCCAGGACCCTGCGCCACTGCTCCATGAGAAGGCCTTCTCCTTCTCACTCCCTCCCCCTCGCTCGCCGCCAACATTGGTGAGCGGGCCGCGGCGCTCGCCCCTCCTCCTCCTCCTCCTCCTCCTCCTCCTCCTCCATCTCCTCTTCCTCCTCGATCTCCTCCTCCTCCACCATCTCCTCCCCCTCCTCTTCCTCCTCGATCTCCTCCTGCTCCACCATCTCCTCCCCCTCCTCCTCCTCCTCCTCCTCCTCCTCCTCCTATTCCTCATCTTCCTCCTCCTCCTCCCCCTCCTCCTCTCTCCTCCTCCTCCCTCCTCCTCCTCCTCCTCCTCCTCCTCCTCCTTCCTCCTCCTCCTCCTCCTCTCCTCCTCCTCCTCCTCCTCCTCCTCCTCCTCCTTCCTCCTCCTCCTCCTCCTCCTCCTCCTCACCTCCCCTCCTCTGCTCCTGCCCCCGAGCGCAAAGGCGGCGAGCGCCATCTGTCAAAGATGCAGGTGCGCTTTTCGAGAACGTGACAGTGATAGTGGTGACCCATGGGTGCGGTGGCCATGAGGGGCTGCATCGCGGGCATGCTTTTGCTCTGCTGTCCAGCTCTCCGCTCCGTTTTGGAGCCCCTCGGGCTCCCTGGGCTTGTGAAGAGTGCTCTGGAGACCGTGGGGGCCTCCTCAGAGATCCTGGGGGCACCTTGGGCAAGGGGCACCTGCAGCAGCGCCAGAACTGTGGCCCAGCTGGAGCATCCTGATCGTCCCACTGCCAATTCGAATCCCGTCTTCCTGGCCAGCCGCTCCCCGCTCCCCCCATGGGGGCCATCACATGCACAGGACGGATGGGCAAACGGCTTCGGCAAAGAGAAGACGAGATGGCCTCTTGGACCGCGTAGTAGTTGGCGCGGAAATCGCCGGAACAATTCATACCGATCACGCTCGTGTAGGCCATGCATATCCCAAATCCGAACTTCGGGTTATACCCGCACGGGGAGCAACCGCTGCCCCAATCTTCGCCAGGGTGGCCCAGTATTCGCGCATCAGCAGCGCTGCCTGGAGTTCCATCGAGCACCCTCCAAACATCCTGTCCAACCTGATCGGAGAGCAAGCCCATCCCGTACGAGCACGATCCATACCCCGAGGGGCCCTGACACCAGGTGTCGTTGAGGCGCTTGAAGTCCTGCATGGCCTGCAGACTTGTGGCGTTCAAGAACCCGCCCTCTTCTGGGGCGAGAGTGAACAAGTCGTAGAAGAAGGTTGCTAAATCCTTGCCAGTGCTGGCAATATTCCCCATTGTCCAGCCATTCAAGCACGAAGAGAAAGCCAAATCATCGAAACGTTGTGGTAAAGGCTCCGGGCGCCAATAATTCCAAGCAAACTGATGTGCCACACCCGGGTACTGAATGCAGCGTCCGAGATGTAAGAAACTTGTCTGGGAGTACCTGTCAGTCTCCCACAGGCGTGCTGGGATGACGCTCAGCTGGCTAAAATCCTGCCAGGACCAGACGTGAGCAAGCCGAACCAGCACGAGTCCGAGCAGTATGTAGTTGGCCCCCGAGTATGTGGCACACGTGCGAGGCTTGCACACGAAACCCCGTTTAGCTGCGCTCTGTAGGTAAAGTTGAGGACCCATATCGTCACCACTGTATTCCATCGTCCTCAAGGTATCAAAGAACACAGGGATAGTGAAACCCCGCTCCCTTGGGGGAGGGGGGAAGGGAAGTTGAGATATCATAATGATGGCGCTGGTGTGATGATGATGTTGTTGCTGCTGCTGCTGTTGCTCATTATGATGACGACGACGACAACGATGATGGTAATGATGATGGTGATGATGCTGATGCAGATGATGATGATGATGATGGTGGTGGTGGTGATGATAATGATGTTGTTGACTTATTGATGATGGTGATGATGTTGCTGATGATGATGCTAATGATGATGCTGATGATGCCGATGCTGATGATGCTGATGATGCGACGGCGACGGCGACGGCGACGATGATGACGATGCTGAGTATGATGATGATTGTGATGCTGCTGCTGATGATTGTGATGATGATCATGATGATGCTGCTGCTGATGCTGATGATGCTGATGATGATGCCACGGCGACGGCGACGACGATGACGACGATGGGGGGATAGAAGCGGATGAGAAGGAAGAAGAGGAGGAGGAGGAGGAGGAAACGAAGGGGAGGAGGAGGACATACTGAGGAGGAAGATTAGGAGGAGGAGGACGAGGAGGAGGAGGAGGAGGAGGAGGAGGAGGAGGAGGAGGAGGAGGAGGGGACGAGGAGGAGGGGACGAGGGAGAGAAGAGAGGATGTGGGGATAATGGGAGAGCAGGCGGGGGAGGAGAGGGCAGAAGGAGGGGGGGTGAAGGAGAAAGGGGATAGGGAATGCGGAAAAGGAGGATGAGGAGGATGAAGAAGAGCAGGAAGAAGAGGAGAACCAGAGCGGAATCAGTTCTCCTGCTCCTCCTTCTCCTCATCCCCTCATCCTCCGTTTCCTCCCACATCTCCTCCTCCTCGTCCTCCTGCTCTTCCTTCTCCTCCTCCTCCTCAAACGCACGCGAAGCTGGGCGCTCGGTTGCACGGCGCTTCGGAGGACGTCGACCTCGTCAGGGGCATAACGGCTCTGGAACAGGAGGCGGTACCGACGTCGGGAGCGTCACATGCCCGTCTGGTGGAAGCCGGAGCAGCAGCCCAGGAAGACCCTGTAAACCACATTTGGCCAGCCGGCCAGTCGCCCGCGGAGCAGCTGTCGATGAGGCTTCGGGCCCTGAAGACGACAACGGAGTCGCGGACAGCATCCCACTGCAGGAGGGGACGTCTGAGCGAGTGGACTTCCTTCAGAGAGGTTCCCTTCGTCCTGCCATCCTCGCCCGAATTAGGTTTTTTGGGGGGGCCAACAAGTGGAGGCAGTACAGTGGAGTCATTTATAGGGTTTAAGAGCACGCGTGTTTATTTTTGCGCCACAGCGCAGCGCAATCCCCAGGGCAGTGCATCAAGTTGCGTTACCACTGGGGCGCTCATTCCTCTGGCCTGACCACTGGGAAGGCGGTGCAGGATAGGTGCCAGGGACACCACCGCGCAAGCATGGGGCATCGCGACCAACTGAAACGCGTGCACCTGCCTCGGTTTCCTTCTCACCGTAGGCCGAATCCCGATTCCATCTTGTGGCCATTCGTCGCAGTCGGCTGTGCTGCCTGGCTCCCGCTCGGCCCGTCTCTGTCTGGGGAGAGGCCGGAAGAACACTTTTTTGGTCGGCGGGGTGAGAGCGAGCCTCTTCCGCTAAAAGCTAGGCGGGCTACGCACAGCTCGAATTGGGGAGACGGGGCACGGGCGGGCGGGGCCTCAGGCGGCCGGAGAGGGCGGGGCCCGGGGTGAGGCCGGAAGAGCACGCCACCTCCTCTTCAGGCGCTTCGCGGCCCTGCCTCCGCACGCACGAGGTGCCATGCGGCACCGCGGCAGGAAGATCTGACCAGAGAGATCCCAGGAGTGCTACGGCCTGGCGAGCGCGGGCCTGTCTTCGGACGTGAGTAGGGCCGCCCGGGCCACCGGGGAGGACCGCCACGGCCGCTGGAATTGTTCACCCCGTCTTCAGATGACTTGCCGCACCACACCTCCTCCTCCTCCTCCTCCTCCTCCTCCTCCTCCTCCTCATCCTCCTCCTCCTCCTCCTCCTCCTCCTCCTTTCTTCCTCTCACTCATCCTTCCCCTCCTCCCCTTCCCTCCTCCACCTCCGTCTCCACCACCTCCACCTCCTCCACCTCCTCCTCCTCCTCATTCTCTTTTTCTTTCTCATTCCTCTACTTCTTGAGGCGGGTGGGGGAGAGGTTGGGGATGAGTCTCATCATCAACGCGCATCGAAGTTGACAACGACGGCGACGAAGTCGTCGGCGTCGACCATGCGATTATGACGACGACGACGACGCCGAGGTCGACCTCGCTTCGGCCGCCCGAACGTCCAGTGCTCCGCGATGAAGTCGTCGTCGGCTCTCGTCATGCCCAGGGGGCGGGGCGGGGTCCTAGCCTCCTCCTCCTCCTCCTCCTCCTCTCCTCCTCCTCTCCAGACCTGCTCTCCCTCCCCCTCCCCCCCTCCTCCTCTCCTCCTCATCCTCCTCCTTCCTCCTCCTCCTCCTCCTCCTCCTCCTCCTCCTCCTCCTCCCTCCTCCCTCCTCCTCCTCCTCCTCCTCCTCCCTCCTCCTCCTCCTCCTCCTCCTCCTCCTCCTCCTCCTCCTCCTCCTCCTCCTCCTCCTCCTCCTCCTCGCCTCCTCCTCCTCCTCCTTTTCCTCCTCCTCCTCCTCCTCCTCCTCCTCACCCTCCTCCTCGTCCATGCCGATCCGTTATAGATAACTCCTCTCTGCCGCGCTGCCCATTAGGGCGATCTGGACGTTTCGCGTGAGACTCCCAAGCCACTTTTGCTCGTGAAGTTTGACATTCGCACCAGTCACAAGAAGTGTGGAGCACAAGTGGTTTTCAGAATGGGGCTCCCGCTCCAGCGCCGCGCACATTTGTTCCAAACGTACGCAACAGTTACAAGCATGGGGCACAGACCGCTCTTTTAAAATGAGGCTATCGCCTCAGCGCCGAGCGCATTCGCCTTAAACGTATGCAGCAGTACACAAGGATGGAGCACCGTTCGTGTCGACGATGGGGCTATCGCTTGACGCTCGCTTAAACTTAAAGACCCGAGTGTCCACCATATGGAGCAGCTGCACGGATGGAGGGCGGTTCCTTTTCACTAATCCCGGCGCGACACCAATCCCATGCGAATCCGCCTCCGTGCCTTGGCATGGAGGCGTGAAGCAACGCCAAATGCTGCCTTGCAGGGCTTCTGTAGTTTTCTGATGGACCCCCCACCCTCCGTCCCGCACAGAGTTGACTACACCACCCCTGCTCCTGGGGCTCCGAGGCCGGCCAAGACGCCTCCCTGGTAGAGCCTCCAGCGAAACCCGAAGAGGCCCAAATCATTGATGATCAATACTGATTGAAAACATGTTCGCTTTCTTGCAGCTTCGAGCTTCGTCGGCTCAAGAGATCCCACGAAGCTTGCAACAAGACCGCACGACGGCCCAGGAGGGCACCGAGAAGGCCCCAAGATAGACTAAGAAGGTGCCAAGATGGCCCACGACCAGCCCAAGACCCCAAAGTCGGTCCAAGAAGGCGCTCAGGCGGTCTCAAGGTCCCCAAGAAAGCCCCAATGCGACTCATAGAGCCCCCCGAGATGGGTTCTGAAAGCGCCGATAAGGCCCAAGAACGCCCTCAAACGGCCAAGTAGCCCCCAAATGCCCCCGAGCCCCCAAAGGCGCTGCCGAGAGGCCCTAAGATGCCCCAGAGAACCTCACAAGAAGCCCCCAGAACCTTCAAGAGGCCCGAATTGTCACACAACACGGCCTCCCGTGCCCCCGGGAATAGTCGGACCTACTGGACTGACACGGTGGCCGGACTCGCCGCAGGCAGCTGGATGCCTTAGCATGAGCAGTACTGCGTTACATTGCTTTGCTTTGCTTGGCATTGCTTTACTTTGCTTCGTATTGCCAGGCGCTGGTTGGCATTGCGTTGCATTGCCTCGCATTCCTTCGCATTGCTTGGCATTTATTTGCGTTGCTTGGTATTGCTTGGCTCTGCGTTGCTTTACACTGCATGGCTCGGCATTGCTTATCATTGCTTGGCATTGTTTGGCGTGACATGGCATTGCTTAGCATTGCTTAGTATTGATTGGCATTGCCTGGCATTGCTTGGCATGGTTCGGCGTTGCCTGGCATTGCTTATAACTGCTTTGCACTGCTCAGCATTGCACGGACACTGCTTGGCGACACAAACAACCAAACAAACTGGGCAACCGGGGCAACTGGGCCAACCCGGGCAACCCGAGCAACCCAAGCAATCAGGGCAACCGAGGCAACCAAGCAACTGGGGCGAGCGGGAAACCGGACAAGCGGGCAACCCGAAGAAGACCTGGCGAGCGGGCAACCCGAAGAACGCATGGGCAAGCCAAGGGAGGCTGGGCCGCCGGGCAACCCCGTGGAGCACAGGCTGTCTAGGCCTCGCACCGACCAGTTCTTCACAAGAAAACGGGAACTCCTGAGGCACAGCCTCATCCCAGACATGTTCGCATTGTGAATCGATAATCAGGACGGGAAGCTGTTCGTCGTTTTCGGCCCCTGGGGGGCCCTCCCCAGCCCTGGGACCGTCCAAAAACGGTCTCAGGATGAAAAACGGGCCCCGTGAAACAAGGGCCATGACTTCTGGGGGGACCCCGTACTGAAAACATCAGGACGTCGCGTGTCTGGGTTTGGGTCAGGGGGAGCTCTCGCTTGAGGCCTCCTCGAAGGGCATGGCCGCAGCTGACAACCTGCCCAACAATTGCACGCATGGGGGCGGTCTGTCGGGGGCGCGCAAACATGGATTCGCGATCCATGGATTTGGCGCGCCTCCCCAAAATGCGGCCCGTGCCGCCTCGTTCGGCGGCGGAAGTCCGCGATTTCCCATGGAAGCGGGACCCGTCGCTCATCCACGCCCCCTTGATCCATGTTTGCGATCGCCTGAGCCTGGGGGCGGTCTGTTTTGGAGAGGGGGACCTCGCTGGACAGGTCGCCGAACTGTACAGTATGACCAGATATCTTCGTACAGCGAAGGCCAGGCCACAAGAAACCTTCCACAAGAAACCCAACCCTGAGACCCCAAGACGTCCATTGATTTTTGGTGTGGGAACGTCACGCTTTCCATGGCGAAACCATCGAAACCCAGGGAACCCAGGGCACCCTGGAGGCAAGCAGGGTGTTTCTCGGCATGAGCCCCCAGTGTATTCCTGATTACGCGCTGAAGGGTGCAGGCCAGCTCCTCTTCCAAACGGGGCTCCCGCCTGCATAGCAGGCCCACGGGGGTGCTGTCCTTCATTCCCTCCTCCTCCTCCTCCGCCTCCTCCTCCTCCTCCTCCTCCTCCTCCTCTGTCCTCCTCCTCCTCCTCCTCCTCCTCGACTCCTCCTCCTCCTCCTCCTCCTCCTCCTTCCTCCTCCTCCTCCTCCTCCTCCTCCTCCTCCTCCTCCTCCTCCGTCTCCCCCCGTCCAGTCTCCCCCTTCACCCTCCGTCCAGCCGGTGGGCGAGAGTGCACGCTGGGCAGAGAGAAGGGGCGGGGGGCCTCAGAGGAGGGCCGTGCCCCCTCAGAGACCACGCGCCGCGCACGCTCCTCCGACCAGCGGACGAGGGGAGGGGGCGCAAGAGGGCGGCCGTCCCAGAAAGCCGCCCCTCCCTGAGGTTAGACCCAACGGGAGGTCCAGCTGGAAGGGGGTGGCGCAATAGGTTCGGGGCACGTGTACTGCACAGGTACTGCGCCAGAGAACTGTAGCGCACTGCATTGCAACAAAATGCATTGCCCGCGAAAGCCCAGCAAGACATTTGCGCACCGGAATCGATTGCACGCCCCAGGGGGGAGGGCGGATTTCCTCGGGCCGTCCTGGGGGCCTCTTGGACCGTCCTGGGGGCCCCTTTGGGCCGTCTTGGGGCCCTCTTGGGCCGTCTTGGGGTCCTCCTGGAGGCCTCTGGGGCCGTCCTGGGACCACTTTGGAGGCTGCTTGGACCGTCCTGGACCTCTAAGCATCGAAAAAGACGAGAACGCTAAACTCCCCCCCCTGGGCCATGCCTCCCTCCGAGTGCCGCCAGCCCTGTGCCCACGATCGGAGGGGTATGCCTCCCTGGCGGTCCAGCCCCGCCTCGAGCAGGAGGGCCGAAGCCGCCGTCGCAGGCGGCCGGGTCGCCGCGGTTCGCGGGCGGGTCCGATCGCGCGGGTCGGCGATTCGAGCCGCGGACCACGTCGCGCGCGGACGTGGTCGAGATCCCCGACTGCAGACGCCGCCGTGTTTCCCAAGCCGTGGGCCCGCAGAGTGCTCCGCGCCGGCGTGGACAGTCCCTGGGGGCCGAGGGCAGCCCCCGGGAGGCAGGTGCAGGGAGAGAAGACTTGACCCTGCCAGGGTGCCCTGGAAGCAGCACGTGCCATAGGTGGGCCACAGGCTGCGGCAGACGCTTGGGGGGTGGAGGCCCCCGCCGATTGTGCAGTCGGCCCGGGCGCCTGCGCATGCGCGCGCCCAAACTGCCCAGAACAATTCCGGGACGGTTCCAGAGAGCTTCGAGACGGCGCAGCAGCGCCTCAAGATGGCCCAGGCTGGCCTCAAGACGGCTTCAGAGTCACCCCCGACAACCCAAGAGGGATCCACGAAGACATCCGAAACAGCCTCCAGGGCTCGAGACTCCCCTTTCTGTTTTTCAACGATTCGAAATCCTCGCGTTTCTGGGCTTCTGGGCGCCCTTGACGGTCAGACGCCCCCAGGAGGCGTTCCAAAAGGTTCCTTCAGCCATCCCCAGACACCTCGCCAACACGTTCCAGCACCAAGCTCGTTGGCGGCCCTTCCCTATGATCATGGGCACAATGCCCATTGTGACAACATTATTGCCCTGCATGCTGGGGCCAGCATCAATCAAAATCCATGACCCTAATGGAGAGAAGAAGCGGGCCCACAAGAGGAATAGCTCCATGCTCTGTCCGACGCAAACAGCTCGAAGGTGTCGGCGGTGCGGCGGCAGCCAAAGAATCGTGATTTCTCTGGTGAGTGTACCTTCCGCAGATTGCACCGCATGTTGCTCCATAGGCTGTGGTAGAAAACTCGCCGCGCAAGCAACGGTTGCGCCAGGTACCAGTGCATCATCGCTGCAGCAAAATAGCACCATCGCTCCACCGGATGCGCTAGGTACCCCGCAATCCACCAAGCCGTCCGCTGTTGGGCATACTTTGCGCCAACGGCTGTGCCTTACACTGCGCCACCGGTTGCTCTAAACACCAAATCGACCAAACCGTCCCTGGCTTAGTGGGTGCACGATTGCGCCATAGGTTGCGCCGCAGGTTGCGTTGCTCATTGGGCACGCCATTGCGCCATAGGTTACGTCACAGGTTGCGGCAGGCGATCCGCCACCTACAACGTCGTCAATTACTTGTTGGGTGCACCATTGCGTCATAGACGCCGCCAATAGT